TTTTTTCCTACTCTCTCTTGGATCAGTGGCTAAGGTGGGAGCCAGGTGCAAATATGTTAAGGAAGCACCATGAAAAATCCCTTCTGGTGATGAACTGAGACTTCTTGCCTGCAGACAACAAGGAACCTTCCAACACTATTGTGAGAAACCTGTCTTGGAGACTCAAGACAGGTTTCTCACTGTCTCACACTCAAGCCTTCTAGGTGACCACAGCCCCAGACATCTTGATTGTAACCTAAGGAGGACACTGAAACAGACCTAAGCAAGCCTGTTCCCGTTTCCAACTGAGAGAAACTATTCAAGACAATAATGGTTTCTTTGTTATTAAGGTCTCAGCATGTGGATAATTTGTGATGTAGCACTGGGTAACAACTCATGAATTTTTATGGTACTAAAAAAATGTTTTCAGTACAATAGTAAGAGTATATATGGTAAAAGTCCATCAATACAGGAAAAGGAATTAAAGAAAAAATGTTCAGAGCAGGTAATTTAGCCTGACAATAATGTCTGTCTTTATGTAGTGATGATAAAAATCTCCCCATTTAAAGTTTTTGAGATACTCCTGAAACTTAAAAAAAAAAAAAAAAAAAGATTCATGCTTCTTTTGGAATAGGCAAACATGGGAAAGGAAGAAAGCAAACATATAATAGCATTTAAAATATTTTAATTTCCATTTCCCTTTGTGCTTGGAATTCCTGAAGTTTCTCTGTTCTTTTCATTGTTGTTTTCACTCCTAATTTACATTCTTCTTTTTCAGTTTCCCTCTGAAGAAGTCATTGCCATTTCTTAATATTTGATGCTTGAGTCAAATGGCAAGAAAGTTGAGGTAACTGAGCTCTGAGTTATTGTACCAGAGAAATTCTTATGCAGAATTTAGTGGCTCACTTTGTTCCAGGTTTAATGAAGGAAGCCAAGGGGTTAGGGAAAGGCTATGATAGAAGATGATTGGCTTGGGACTAGTGCCACTATGCATCAGTATTGTATGAGATGATTGGTGTGGTGATATATTATTTATGATTTAATAAAGCTTCCCCGAAGATCAGAGAAGCAAAGCAGTCTGCCACTAGCTCTTACCTCTACCTCTGGCTGAAAGGGCTTGGTGTGATGGAGAATAAATCTTTGAGACTGAATACTGAGTGCCCCACTCTTATCTTATATACCTCTCTAGAGCTGGGGTTAAAGGCATGGGACCCTGAGTGCTGAGATCTCCTTTGTGTGAGCTGTTTCTCTTTTAGACTGATTCACTCTAATGTAACCCTGGGTGGTCTTGAGCTCACAGAGATCCACCTGCCTTTGTCTTCTGAGTCCTGGGATTAAAGGTATGTACCACTGCTGTCTGGACTCTATGGCTTGTGACTAGCTTTGCATTCTGAACCCTCAGGCAAGCTTTATTAAATCATAAACAATCCGAAGACTGGTGTTACCACGCTTCCTTATTGTAGCCTCATCTTTGAGAAACTGAGCAGAACTTGCAGACAGTTCTGAGTGGTCCAGACCACAGGCTTTTCCTGATGTCAGTATGTCTGGTCCACCCCTGTCTTTAGGTCAGTTTCACTTGAGAGGTCAGCATTGTTTTATACTGGGCATCCCATAGTTCACTCCAAGCTTAGGTCCTTTCCTGTGATCTTGGTGAATCAACATTTCCCTGTATCCTCATGTCAAGTTCTGAGGTATTCCCTCAAGCCTCCCAACAGTAAAAGATACTTCACAGTTCTGGCAGTAGGTACTTGAACAGGCCTTATTCCATATCCTGATTCAGATGGGTTTCCTGTCTCCCAAGAAACTTGTAAATATACACCCAAAAGTGGCCTGTGGGGTGTGTCCTTGATGATGGTAGTGGGGTTTATTGCTCAATTCCTTTAGAAAACATGTTCTTTCTTTAATTTTAAACATAATCCTTTATTGATTCTTTGAAAATTTTTCATCATGGACTCCAATCCCACTTACCTCCCAGTTTCTCCATATCTGCCCCTAACCCCTGAAGTATGTCTCCCAAATTAATTAAAACAAAACAAATACACAAAAGCCTATCTTGCTCCTCTATCTCTCAAACACCTTTTCATTCATCCTAGTGGCATTGGAAGCTATCATGCAGTATACCCCTTTTGTCCAATCAGCCCCACTCACAAAATGTCCATTGCAATGAATCCTTCATCTGGTTCAAGGCCTCTGGATTCTGGTAAACCATCATTACTTTGATTCTCAAGGAAACTCCTCTCCAATATCCTGTTGTTGCCCCAAATCATGAAGATCCTGCTGTTATCATTCTGTCAGACCAGACCTTTGCCACACACAATCCAGTAGGGACAGCTGTTACAGTGGGTCAACCTAAGGCCCAGAATGGACCTAGTTACTGGGACAACCCCTCAGTTGAAGGGAAGAGTCATCCTAGGGCCATGCTGATCCAGTCCTGTCCCTCATTGGCCCTAGGGATGGCTGGCCTTGTTCCTCAATGGACACTGCATTGGAGAGCTGATTTTAGCATTGGGAGAGATGACCCCACCCTTCACCACAAGTGTGGGGGAGCTGGCCCTGATGGCATGGGCCTAGGATAGAACATATTCTTATCTACACATTCTTCTCATTATCTTTGAGCTGTGTACACATGACGTTACCTCAGAATCTTACTCCTTTATTATCCAGCAAAGGTTTTCCTAAGGACCTGAGAGCTATATCTTTGAAATATAAACAACCACCAAGCACCTCAGGCTCCCATCCTGGTGCAAGGATGGAAATCTACATAGAATCCCATTCCAAGCTATAAAATGGCTTATCCTGTAGATAGACAGCTCCATTGTCTCTCCAGCCTTGACAGCCAGCAGGTAAAATTTAGATGAATTATATTTACCATAAGCACTGTTGAATCTTCTGGAAAATTGCCTATTTCTATCACTGGGACATGTATATGGGATTGTGGTATAGAGGGTGGCATTTGTTTCTGCCTTCACTATGTCTGCTAGGTCACCTGACATTCCCACCATGGCTTTGACTCAATGATTCTTCAAGAATAAAACTGTCTTATTTTTTTTCTCTACCACCTTTATGTAGATGTGGCAGCTTAGCAGATTTTACTTTTAATTATTTTTCTAACACTAGCCAGATGGAGGGCTACTAAAGGTCAGTGAGGTTATTCCATTAGATTAAATTTTCATAAACAGCATAGAGATCACCACATAGGCAAGAACACTGTGGGTTCAGGTTGAGACCTGGGTTCAGAAACAGGTGCCATCCCTTACTTATTCTGGTGCAATCACTAGGCCATGGAGGTTACTGTGACATCATTTGTAAAATGTTATGGCTATAACAATAATATGTCAGCAAATTGCAGTTACCATTTCCCTCCATTTAACACTCTACCAAGAAATTAGATGAATGATCTACACTAAAAATACATAGATATGTGAAAATAAACCCTTTGGGTTTTTCTGAGTAAATTTGAAGAGATATAGTAAGTCTTTTTATTTCTATTGATGGCTGAAGATGTAGTATTGTTCTACCAATGCAACTCAATTCTTGGGGTCTCTTATGTTAGAATATATGCTTCATTTCTTCAGGAATGGTCTAAGATGAAACATAGGCCAATTACCTGGTGCCTGGTCCATTATGAGCTAGAGAAGGCAGTTTTCATCTCCGAAAGGGAGCATTAGTGATGATTTTTTTTTTCAGAGGTGGGGGATCTGATCTTTGATCTGCTAATGTGTCCACCACCTCAGCTCTGGGTATTTCTGTTGAGTTTTAATTCCCAATGACATCTTCTGTGTGATGTCTCAGAGTTGCTGAGACAAAATGCATGAACTTGGTGCCTTCCACTTGGGCATTTGTTCTGGTAGCTTTAGGCCAGAGGTCTAAAGCTACCTGGCAACAGGCCCATGAGTTCTCCAGTGCCTCTAAAAATGAATTCTTTCTTGCCTCTTGCAGCTTCTGATGTCCCTAGGTAGTCACTGGCTTTTCTTAAAGCATAGTATCAATCTTCAACTCCATCTCACCAAGTGTTATCCTCTTCAATTTCCCATAAGCAATAGTTTTAATTGGATTTGGGATCCATCCAGATAACTCAGGATGATTTTATTCAACATTATTAACTTAATAATATCTGCAAAAGCACCTTTTCCAAAAATTTGAGGGCATTTGTTTTTCTTTCTTTTAATTTTTTAAAGGGACTATAATTCACCAGCTCTTCAGAGCATGAATTAGACAGTGCAGGTTGACAGGAAGTGATCACAAGCCATACTGCCTCTCAACTCTCAGGGACAGTTTAGAAGTTCTGCCATTCTTGGGGAATCAAGGTAAACTTGTTCCTTGAGGGTATCTCAGAACTTGTCTCTATCTAGAACTTCTAGGACTCTAACACTGCCCAGCTGCTGATGGAGAATGTGTGATTCTTAACAATCTTCCCCCTCAAGTTCAGGCAAAATGTGCAGGTAGGTCTCGAGTACCCAAACACACTGATGCCAACACTGCTTTTGCATCTAAAGCAGTGGCTTTAGGCTGGAGGTATGGATGAAGTTAGACAAAAGGAGACTAGATACAGAATGTTCCCTTGTTTGAAAAATACATTATATTTCATGTGTTCTTAAAATGCATTATATTTCATATGTTCTTAGAGGAAAGGGTTACTCTCAGAACAGAGGAACTGGGATAGATGGGTTATGCACTTTTTCCTTCAGACCTGAGGCTGATTTTAGTTTAGATGAAAGAAGGCAAGACTCTCCTCACAAAAGATTTGGGTTTCTCTGGGGAAAAAAATGACAGACAAAACTTGGCAGTAGGAGGCCCCAAACATATAGGATTGAGAATAGTATTGAGGAAGATTGTTAGCAACAAATTAAGACTAGTAAAAGTGAAAATCAAAGTTTGCTTTCAGTTAGCATGAAGATTAATTTCATTCATCAAAGACCTTGGAACAATTAGCATAACACGCTAGTGGAAATGGGGGAGGGAACCCAATGAATAGCAGAAAGGAGATCAGTATCACATGAAGCCCACGCTTCCCCTAAAGCTCAGCTTCCTTTCGACCTGGGCTTTTTGTCCTGAGTGTAGGGGTCTTGATCAGATGATGACTTGTCACTGAGGATGAGAGATGAAGAAAGTCTGGGCTGAGAACAGTCTCTTTGGAACTGAGACGGAGTTAGGAAACCAAGGCGAGCCTGCGCCTGATTGCAAGGAAGTGAAAATTACTTTGTGGTTCTTTTCTCAGACTCTAATAAGGTGACAGTAGCCACTGGGATGAAGAAATTGAATTGAGGAGAGGCTGTCAGCTTGCTTTCTGTCATGTCTAATTTACCTTGTCAACAATCCATCATCTTCCTATAAGGCCAGGGTGGGTTTGGAAGGAGGGAACAAGCTGGTCTGGGTGTCAGTTGCTTGCTAAAACAAGGAATTGGAAGTCATGGGGATGTACCTCACGTCCTAATTCTGAAAGCAAAAGCACTGCTAGGTTCTTGAGCATTTCTGTTTGTTTTATCGTGACAGAAATCTGAGGTAATACTCCTTAACCAGGACACATCATACCCATATTTCTTTTGACTTTCAGTCCATGTCCACTTAGTAAGCATGACACAATACTGTCCCTAAAGAGTTTTCCATGGATGTTAGATGTAGCACAGAGGACTGTTTAATGATAAAATAAGAATTTTTATGGGAACTTACTACCCTGAGCCACAAGATCTTCTTTTTGTATATAAAACACTTTATGTGTTTCCAAGTCTAAAGCTCATCGATCAGCTTTTCTTTGTTAGTTACATGCATATAAGACTTCATTTTAGAATATGGCTTATAATTTTAGATCATTTAAAAAATTAATGCTGTAACAGCTGGGTACAAAAGTTCATTATGCAATATCATTTTCTTTTCTCTTTGCTAAAATACCCATATATTTCAAGCAGAATGCTGCTAGTTTACCTGGTGCCTTAAAAATCAAGGAATTCACATACATACAAGTTTTCATTAATGGCTGCTTGCATGTTTACACATGTCTACAGTGTTTGACTTAGCAATATATACTGTAGTGTCCACTCTGCTATAGAACAGCTGACTGGATTAACATATATGCACCTTTATTTTATGTCCACTATAAACAAACAGTACGAATCAGGATTTGTTTTTTATGAAAAAGCAGAGCTACCATGATACATCAGATAACTTTTTAAAAAATATTTCTTTATTTTATGTATCTGAATGTCTTGCCTATGTCTCTATGTGCACCACATGCATGTAGTGTCTGAGGACACACAAGGGCATCGGATGCCCTAGAGCTGGAATTACAGATATTAGTAATGTAAGCTATCATGTGGGTGATGGAAACTAAACCTGAGTACTCTCCAAAAGCAGCTAGTGCTCTTAACCACAGAGCCATCATTTCTCTAGTCTTATATATCCAATTATTTACCTCCCTAAATTGAGATGCCTATTCCCAAGGTAATTTTTTCAGTGACAATAGCTTTACTGTAAGAATGTTGCCTATCAGGTCTTAAAGTCTGGGGAGACACTATGAATTTTAAGGAAGTGGAGCCTAGGAGTTAGGTTGCTGATAGGCACACAGATAGGGGCCACAGCTAGATAAAGGTGGCTTCTTCCCCTGGCCCCTGACATGAGACAAAGGCCTGGCAGGCTTTTTCTCCTGCTAGTAGCTCCCCTTTCCTCAAGTTCAAGAATATGTTTACCCAAAGATGTGGGCCTATTCAGCATCCCTGTTTTCTTTGAACTGGCTGGACATTCCTAAAGTAGAGGAAGGAGACCCCAATCCAATACCTCCTAAGAGCCTTAAAACCCCAGCTCTTCAGTAGAGGCCAGAACACTTTTTTTTTTCTTTAATTTTTTTTTAATTAGAAAGAAGATTATTTTACATGTCAATCCCAGGTCCCTCTACCTCTCCTCCTCCCCTGGCCCCCCAACTAACACCCTGTCTATCCTATACCATTTCTACTCCCCAGGGAGGGTGAGGCTTTCCATAGGGGGTCTTCAGAGTCTGTCATATCCTTTGGGATAGGGCCTAGGCCCACCCCCTTTGTCTAGGCTCAGGGATTATCCCTCCACTTGGGATGGGCTCCCAAGTCCATTCCTATGCTAGAGATAAGTACTGATCCACTACAAGGGGCCCCATAGATTTCCGAGGTCTCCTCACTGACACCCACATTCAGGGGGTTTGGATCAGTCCCATGCTGGTAGAGGCCAGAACTGTTTGCAGAGGGTCTTTCTCTATGTGTGCCCTGGCATATGTGTGTGTGTGTGTGTGTGTGTGTGTGTGTGTGTGTGTGTGTGTGTGTGTGTGTGTGTGTGTGCTCTTTCCATCATTAAAACCTTTCTGGGATATTCAATGTTGGAGACCTGGTTGGCTTGAGATTTTTCCTGCCTTTTAATTATTTGACTGGCAAAACAACCCTGATCAAGACCCCTAGAAAGTAACAGAAGGGCACAACAACATACTGGTGGAATTTTGAGTTTCCTGTTTAATAGATATTTAAAGTGATTTTTCTAGGTTTAGTGTAACTTCTGCCCAAGTGTCTCCCAGATGTCTGGCCACTGTCTTATCCCTTAGGAATCTTTTTTTCTCTGCCTCTTCCTTTTACTTCTTAGAGTCCAGATTTGCTCTTAGGTAGACATTTTCTGTGAAATCACCTAAGTCAATTGTTTGGTACATTTGACGAGTTTACATTTATTTTATAAATTCGTATACTTGTTAAATTATATACTTTCACAGAAGTTTAACTTGTTTTCCTTCCATTTGACCACACTAAATTTCAGGCAAATCCAAACAAATGCTAAGAGTAGCCTTGCTAACAAGCATTATTTCCTCAATTATTTCTGTCCATCACTCCAGTATTTCTATCAGAATCACTTTTAAGGTAGCATGATGCAGATACCAAAGTTTAAGGCTTCATTTTAAAGGAGGCCAGACACATCATTGAGGATGGACTGACTTGGTGAGAATTCTGTCACTGTAGCATCATACTCTATTTTGCTTTAATTCTAATTTGCTTTAATTCTATATGTTAATGACCCACTCTAAATACATTTCCCTTTCTCTTCTAACTTTTCTTTTTGTTTCTTTTTACTGCTTCCATGTAATGTAAAAGGTGTCCTTTTGGGTGAAATGTCATCATTATTCTTAATTTTTCATCGATGGTGAAGTTTGTTGGCGTTACTCATTGTTTTCTGTATATCACAGAAGCACAGCAGGAAACAGATACACGGCTCACACTTTGTGTTTGCTTTTTCTTTTAAGCATTTATAACCACACTACCCTGAGCTTTCTTGTCATTTGTAGTATAAAACAATTTTACTTTTGATATGGGTCAAAAACAGTCAAATTTAATCAGAGCAGTGTAAAATGGGTTATGTTCAACACATACTCAATTTTAAATCATTTAATTTACACTTTCAAATGTACATCTCTGGGAGCAAAACATGACTATTCACAGCAAGCTGCTGCCACCGAGGCAAAACCAAGAGATCGCTGTGTTAATTTCAGCACTTCAAAGGTAACGAAAAGACCATCCACAATGAAGGCTTAATTATGTTTTCTTTCCTTTCAATATTCACATCACAGGGCTTTCTTTTGAGACAATAATAAAGGGAGAAGAAAAAAAAACCTTCAAAGTGGCAGAAAAAGAAAGTCTTTTCAACTGTTTAAACCTTATCCCCAAATCACCAGCAAAAATGAGTGAAAACATAAATTCAAAAGCATATGACAAACCACAACCACTTTGGACAGAAATACTGAACACATACCCGACATAAGAGAGCATTTAAAGGAACAATAGATAATAGTGATGAATATGTTTTTTTCTGTTCACTGGAGCTTGATTGTCGTGGTGAGTAGACAAATTGGTGCCCCCAGGAGCAGGCAACATCCTGGCCTGGTGCTATTCCAGAACTGGCTGCAGCCAAATTCTGTTTTTCTTCCTACCTTGCACGTGTCCCTGAGAAAGCTGGGTAGGAATGCTTCAGGCTGGTGTCATCACTCATCACATGGTCTAAATGCCCAATTACTCATTAGCATTTGCTCATTTCTGTCAACTTTTTCAATTCTCCCAAATTGCATTAGTTGCATTTTTGTAATACTTAATAAAAGAAAGAAATAATTTACCAAAAGTTTATCACTTTAACAAATACAAGTTTATAGACAGATCTGTGAAATACACAGCTTAGTTTACAATAAATACTTTTCTCTATTACACAGGCCCATCACCCCATGCACATGTTAATATGTCCATCTCAAAACTATCTCTGAAAATAATTAATGAACTAATAACCATCACCAGATTTTTAAATGGCCACATTTAAAAGTTCTCACATGGGGGTGATGTGGAATAACCAGAAAGCACAGCTGATCATGTGGGCACGGACCAGACAACAAGGAACTGGGTGCCATGTCTTTAAACTAGTCCTTGAATGACCGGTCTTAAATGTTTTTTGATGTGTTTGTGTTGAGTAGAGAAAATTTCTGAGTATTTGAGATAACTAACTAGTTTTGGTTAAGATCTTTCCCACTTTGACCCTTTTACATATAATTGTAGAGATTCAGTAAAATCATGCTAAGTGAGTCAGGACTAACCTAATAATAACCTAATATTTTAGTGACTGCCATCCTAAGAGTATTTGGATAATGAAAAACAACAGCTGATCATTTCTTAAGCAAAGTGTCTGTAAGATGGAGGAAGTGGCTGGACTAGTGTTGGGGCCAATAAAGATGTCTCCACTTCATCTTGACTCAAGGTCAGAGAGTTCAAAACTGTCCTTAGTATGTCAAAAGGCCTAAATGTCTAAGGCTTGGCTACTGCAGGATGTTTTGTTCTTAGTAGCCAGATGTCTTATCTAAATAACAACAGACTTGGACTCAGGTGTGTTTGCTCTTGACCCTCAAGGCCAGATAACAGGTATGGTTACCAAATGCTTGGAGGATTAAGGGAAGAAAGTCTGTTTGCTCCTTATGCATGATAATAGAAGTCTTCTGCATGTCTCTCTATTGGTTGGGGTACTTAAGAATGTTGAAGAATAAACTTGGGACATTCAGTATTCACTGAATTGTCCTCCTGACAATATCCTGTGTCTCTTTCTTTCTCTTAAGCATGTTTACCTGCCCTTTCTCAATCCACATTCCCCATCTCAGGTATGAACCAGGCAAATTGGCTGGATCCAACTGAAGCCCACAAAGACAGGTTCTAGAATTTTGGGATAATATATAAATACTACTTTTGTTTACAATTTAGTGCCAGAGAGTGTCTTCTTTCACTAAGCTAATTATCTCATTAAAACATTATTTATAAAACTAAAAACCTAATTGTTTAATCTTTTGACATATATTTAATAACCAGAGAAACCCATGTAAATATGTTAATACATAAAAATTCTCACATAAATCTGGTGGAGTTTTATTCAACCATTTCATCTAACATTTACAACATAAAAATTTTAAGTCAAGATGGGTTAAAGATCTAAGGAAGAAAAGTAAAAATTTAAATCATGAGGCGAATATAAAGGAGAGTATCTTTACGAACTCAGGAAGAGAAGGTTTTAAGCATGTTAAATTATAAATATTGACTATTTTAATAAATGATTGTTTTAGCCACATTAAAATGTATCAAGTCATAGGCAAACTGGAATAGCAGAATGCCATCAAAGAGGAGAGACTTGCAACAAATGAACTAGAAAAAGGAGTTAAAATCCAAAAACGTGTCACTTCTGTGAAGTTGGAAAAGACAACCTAGTCCTTGAAAACACCTGTAAAACAAATGACTGTCACCAAGAAGATGGCCAATGGGCATGCAGGGAATTTCCCCCTCAATACTCGCAAAAATGTAAAGATGCAAGTTAAGGTAAAACAGTGAACCATTCACTCACGAAAATATCAAAACATTAAAAAATGCATACACTATCAAGAATAAAGGAGTGTGAAAGAGCACAGGAATTTTGAGTTGCTACACACTGGAGGGTGAGCAGTTGTGGTCTTCTTTAGAGCAGTCAGTGTCCTACCACTTTTCTCATACAGTAAACACTTCAGGCTTTGAGGACCAGAAGACGACATCAGGGGTCTTATGTGAGTACCTAGTTACATAGCCATGTAAAGGTTCAGAAGCCGTTTGAGACTCACAGGCTGTACAAATCTGGGTGTGAACCAGATTTGGTATTTGGTTTGGGAGATTCCTAGTCTAGGGCTATTAGGACAAGATCCAAACCTGGTCATAGATCCTAGTGAACATCTTACATAAATGCACATAATATGTTGATGTATTGTGTCATTGAAGCCTCACAGTGCAACAATATTTGGGGAAGAAGACTAACAAACCAATGGGCTAGCATCCATTGTAAATTCTAATGACCTAGGAATTAGTTTCATGTATGTTAAGATAAAGAGAATATTGGCAATACATGTAAATGCGGAATACACTGAGAATCATTTCTATTAATGTCATATGAGGAAAGGAACACATGACTACATATAGCTTGCTTTCAGTAGGGTGTAACACACCATAGATGGCTACTAGCACATATGTAGCAGGGCCTTACAAACTAAAATGCATTAATATTAATCTTCTAACTTTACAGTACAGAACACATTAAAGATGATAACTTTAAAACAGTGTATATGTGTGTGTTTTAAAGATGCATATGTGTGGTAATCCTCTGCATTTCATTGATTTGAAGACTTTTTTTTGAAGACATTTATTTTCAACCACTGTAAAACAAGAGTGAACCTGGCCAATGGTCAAAGAATTTTCAGGAATGCAAAGATAGCTAACATACACATGGAACTTTGGGAACTACTAACTACTTGTTTAGGCCTTCTTTCTTCTTCTTCTTCTTCTTCTTTCTTCTTCTTCTTCTTCTTCTTCTTCCTTCTTCTTCCTCTTCTTCCTTCTTCTTTTCTCCTCCTCCTCCTCCTCCTCCTCCTCTTCCTCCTCCTCTTCCTCCTCCTCCTCCTCCTCTTCCTCCTCCTCCTTCTCCTTCTCCTTCTTCTTTTGAGACAGGGTTTCTCTGTAGCTTTGTACCCTGTCCTGGAACTAGCTCTTGTAGACCAGGCTGTTCTCGAAGTCACAGTGATCTGCCTGCCTCTGTCTCCCGAGTGCTGGGATTAAAGGTGTGCATCACCACCCAGCTGGCATTATCTTTCTTTCTTTTCTTCTTTTTTCCTTCCTTCCTTCCTTCCTTCCTTCCTTCCTTCCTTCCTTCCTTTCCTCCTTCCCTTCTTTCTTCTTTTTTTCTTTTTTTTTTTTATTTCAGGTTTGACTCACTATAACCATGAACGAAGTAAACTGGTGCATTCAAGTCCCATTTCTAGGGACCAGTAAAACTAATCTAGGTTTCTGGACTCCAGCTTTATGGTCCTGTCTGCTCTATATTTACCAAACAGTTTTTTGTTAACACAAGGACTTTTTAATTCTCGATTGTTTTACAGATTTAAAAAAAATTGTCAATAACAAATGATTTCATTGTTTAGTTTTTAACTTAAAAGTTTAAAAACTATAATGAATAATAGTAATGCATGTTTCAGACACATAAGTCAGCAGAAGAAATTATGTAATTTAGTGTAGATTTTAAGGCTGGTCTCCATACATTCTGAAGCCCATGCATCTTTGAATGTGTTTAAGTAATGATTAATAATTAATGCCATATTTGGGTCTCATAAAATTTTAGGTTGCCCAAAAAGTCTATATGGAATTTTTAACACTCTCATTCATTCTATATGTGATCCCTGTAGAATTTTAATTAAGAATTTACTTTCCTAGGTAAGGATCCAGGATAGATACAGTTTCTTGTGGCTTTTACCCTTCATGACTCTGAGTTATTGAAATCTATGTCTGAGTGTGATAATCTGCAATGAGGATAGCAAATGGTTATATTATCTTAGTGGAAAAAATAATTAGATTGGTTGTCAGAAGGCAACTAGATTAACATTCACATGCATTGTTGATGTCCAATAAATCTCTCCTACATTTAGTCTATAGTCAGTAGTCTTCAAGCTATTCCAGTGCTAGATTGATTTAAAAACATGGTAGGTGTTTACTAAACATCAGTAAAATACATTAGTGATTGAATGAGTGAATAATTGATAAATGAACAAGTGACACAGACACAGACTTAAAAATGCTAGAAGGAGGGTGCAAAAGTCCTAGAAACAAGGCATAAATTCCAACCCCACTCTCCAGCGTTCTTATCCCTTGTGAATATTTATAAATTCAACTCCATGCAAACAATGTCCAGGTTATTTCCATGTGGTTCTACCATTTGAACCCCTTACTTTACACTAATTAGCCAAGTATGTTTGTTTTGGTGGGCATATTTTAGTTTTTAAAGCCTTTGTGTACAGTAGATGCCACTTCTATGTTATCACATACACTTCAAAAGTACTTAATAATTCCTAAGTATTTAGAATTGGAGGACATTAGAGGTGGTAAGTAGTTTGTTTTATTTGAGTGAGTCTTCTCTTAAGATCAAACTTGATTTTGACATGCTCAATGGCAGCTTCCAATTTTATTATCTAAGGGAGCAACAAGCTGACACAAGACTTTAGTTTTTAAGACCAGCCAGAGGTAGGAATATTCTGACCACAATTTAAACTTCGAGTAGTATTAGGAAAATTCCTAAACTTCTCTGAGCCTCAATTTCATCAATTACTTTATAAAATTTTCTTATCTAACTGTCTGAAATATCAAACCAATATCATAAAACATTTTGCCACATGATAAACAGTGGCAGTGAATTTTATTGTATCCACTCCTGAAAAAGGATAACATATGGGTTGAAGACTTGTAACTGTTATTATAATATGAGAGAATAAAATTAAATAGGAACAAGTACATGATGTAAGATACACTTTAGGTAATAGGAAGGCATGAGAATTAGTGTAGCAGAGGCAATATTTCAGAGGTTCCTTTCCCTGTTTTTAATACAAAGTAAAAATTATGTATCTTCTGTAATTGAGGAGAACAATCTATATGATTGACAGAAACCAATCTTTCCTGAGTTTTGGTATTCTGTTTTCTTGTGCTTTCAGAATAGCTTCAGCTATACATTTTATTCCCCCACCCCTGCTTTTCTGCATTGCATACAGCACAGAAACACCGTGGATTTCTAATTAACGAACAGAACTCCGAGGTCTCCAGCTGCTGTTCCAGTTTAATTACAGCTGAGAAGAGAATGTGGTGAAATTGGAGAGACCATTGCTACATGATAAAAAAAAATATAACAATAATGTAGTTCAAGCTTGATCTATAGATGTGACTATGTGTGAATGTGGAGGGCAGTTAATTGATGTATGACTATGAACTTTCTATTTGCTTTGTTTTATATTCCCCAATGCAAGCACATGTATCTGATGGAAACAATGAGGTTCTCATTTAACCAACCTGAAATATAATTCTCAGCAAGTTCTTTAATTTATAGCATTTAAATGGAAGGAATCTTCATCTAATGGGATGGCTTTGCAGTTTTATATTGACTATTACTTTGAAATTAACAATAATACATCAAGTATATGGCAATGTTCATCCCATTATGTGTTTAAAGAGATAACTGTTTTGTTTTGTTTTGTTTGTTTTTGGTTTCTTGAAACAGGGTTTCTCTGTGTAGCTTTGGAGCCTCTCTGTAGACCTCTCTGGCCTCGAACTCACAGCCTGGCTAAAGTGAAAAGTTAAAAGAAATGATAAACTCACCAAAGTTGCAAATAGATGATAGAGTATGAAATAGATGGCAACCACCGGTGCCCACATATGCCCTACAGCATTCAGAGTCTGGTCCATCACATCCACCCATCCTTCCTGGGTCAGTATCTGGAACATGGACATAAATGCCTACACAGGAAAAGAAATGGAGGGTTACACACCCCACTGACTCACAATGTAAGTTACACTGAATGCAATTAAAATTAGCCCATGAAGTACTGGAGAGATGTCTCAGTGCTTAAGAGCAATGGTGTCCTTTCAATTACCTGCACCCACATGGCAGCTCACAATTGTCTGTAATTCTAGTACCGGTGGATTCATTGCCCTCTTTTGACCCCTGGGGCATTGCACACATGTGGTAACACAGATAAAAACAAAATAAGACAACAACATCCCCCCAAAAAGCAAGAAAAGAAACTAAAAATAGAAATTTAAATAAAATTAAATTATCCTATGATGATCAGCTGAGGACTTTTGCTGTTGGAATTATTTATTCTCTTCTAAGCAATCAAGGGGAAGCAATTCATGCGACGAAGAGAAAAGCAGAGAACAAAGGATGAGTTGTTACATAAAACTCTTCATCTTTTTAAAGGGTAAATACTATTGGGAAATGAAAATTTCTGTATCTTTGCCTACACCTAGTTTGTTTAATTTTTCCCTTTTCAGAAAGTTAACATTCCCAACAGAATTTTATATTTAGGTTTCCTGATGTTGCTAGTATAACCGTATTTCTTTAAAAGTGAATTATATTGTCTTAAGCATATAAAAGAATAATGACCTTAATTTTGTTGGTATGGTATCCATCTATCAAATATTTTCAGCTACCATATTAGAAACATGTGATGTCTTAAGAAAAAGAAATATTCTAAGGGATGCTGATGGGCTAAGGAACTGAACAAAGACACATTTTTTTTTTCATGATACTTTTAAAGAATTTAAGGCATAGAGTCAATGTTGCAAAAGAAGCCAACACCAAAACACCACGACATTCCAAGAAAGCCATTCATACTGAAAGTCTTACCCTCTTCCTGAACAGAGCTTTGGCTGTTTGGAAACATCTTTCTAATTAAGCATATGACATATGCTATACTTATCCGTGGTCAGTAAACATTTCTTAATGAGACTTTGTGATCATGTCTGGAAGAAGTCTACTCTTTACAATGGTTTTATAGTCTTCAGTAGAAGAAACTATAAATAGGGTATTAAGGTTCCAAGAACTGAAGGCCAGCATAATAGCCTGAAATCAAGATAAAAATCTATGACTGACAGGATCCCAGAGTTAAGGGACTCCAAAGGCAATTTAATCTGGCTCTTCTTGAAGAGTCAGTTGGACCATACTCATTCTAATAACTTGTTTTCTAGTAGAAGCAGTGGCCAGACACAATTCTCCTGCATTCAGCAAAGAATGAGATTTGCCACTTTCAGGCCTAAGCACAGCTGGTGTTTCTTAGACAATTTCCTTCCCGAGGGAAAAGAACCTTTTCCAAAGTGTGACTTTCAATGTTCAGAAGACAGTGGGTACATTTGAATAAGAAGTAATTAATTCTTAAATGATTTTTAAAGAAAAATCACACTTGTTTGTTTATTGTGTTGATATATAGGTGTGCATGTGTCAGATTCTACCTCCACCATGTGGGTCACAGGGATCAAACCCAGGTCTTGAGACTTGCCTGCCCAAATTAAATGAATCTTGAAGTGATTTTTCCACTTATCCTCTGTCCATTTAAGGAGTACTTCTCTTGAGTTAGTCTTGTCTAAATTCCTTTGTCTTATAGTTTTTTGTTTCCCGTTCATGGAAATGTGAAGTCTGTTGCTATTGATAATTGACTCCCAGCATTACCAGCCACTAGGCTGCACAAGAGGAGGCCATTCTCTGCAAACCATAGCTTTAACCTACTTTAAAATACTATATTATTTAGCTTCACAAATGTGTCAGCTTTACCACCGAGGGCAATTATTCTTCCCCATTTTTCTCTGTTGAATACTTATTACATACAAGCAGTATACATTCCGAAGATGAGTCACACGAAAATATCAGATGACTGTACTTTCCCCACAAAGTTGCTACCAGTGAGAAAACTTACACACACTCCAGGTCTCACAGCAAAAGGTATCACATTAGAGCAGCCTGGGTTATAACAGCTTTCTTTCTCCCAAAGTCACAAAAGCCTTGTAACTAAGCCTAACAAATACCATTCCTGGAATTTGGAGACCAAAAATCTAGGTCTACTTTTCAAGTACCTTCATCACAAAGCAACCTACATGTTTACTACAGTAACTTTTGCAAACATCTAGCTTATATTTGTACAGTATATACCCAGGAACATGGCACTGCAGGATTGTGACCTGCTGCTATGAGACAAGCAGTGAGGGTAGGAGACTCCTTATCTGCTGTTCTCTTCAGGGACTTGAAAAACAAAAATAAAAACTTGATTTCTGCACAGATAACCGGGAACCACATATATTATATATTTGAGCAAAGCTTGTAGTTAAAGTAGAATTTGTTTGTACATTATTGCTTATAATTGGCATTCCTTTCTTTGGTCACTACAATATTAGGTACATATTCATTCAAGGTTTTATGCAGTAGTTTGCAGTTTATTATACTGAACATATAAAATCTGAAACAGCTTTTGGACCAGTTTAAATCTTAAATTTATTATGAAATATGTAACAAGATAGGGATTAATTTTCATTCTTTCTTGTTGCTGTTGTTTTGTTTTTCAAGACAGGGTTTCTCTCTGTAGCTTTGTAGACCAGACTGGCCTTGAACTCACAGAGATCTGCCTGCCTCTGCCTCCCACGTGCTGGGATCAAAGGCGTGTGCCACCACTGCCCAGCTTCATTCTTTCTTTTTGATAGATAATCAGTTGATTGGGAACATTGTAATTGGTTTCTTTACTAATTTGAAATATTTTTATCATGTATTGCCAACTTATATAGTCATGGTTCTATTACTCTTTTATTCTTTTCTTTCATTCTATCTCATTTCTAAATTGATTAATAATTGTATAGAATAATAACTAGTAGGGTTATTAGTCCCTCTTCATAACTTTTTATTATAAAAAATTCATTTATGTGTATTTTTCTAAAACATCCTGGTAGTTATTCACTGAGGTCACATTAGATAATTTAATAAAACTTGTAAATGTTCTCAAATTATTTTCAGTGTAGGGAAAGATATTTATTTCTACTTATTAATCCTCCATCTATGACTCTGATAAAAGATTGTGAGTAATTCCTGCTAATTTCTAGTAAGTTTACTTTAGTTTTATTTTTCAAAAATGTAATCAAGGTGATAGCATAGGATTTAAACTGTAAGTAACAAAGAAATTTTATGATGTGTTTCTTAACAAAAAACAAGTGACAATCTCATGTGTAAGTGACGTAGTCCTCCTGTTTTTCCCACAGGTAGCCGTTCCCAAATCAAGTTCACACTTCTTTTGATGTGACCTACATCCCTACTCAGAATTTCTTGACGTTCTCACTTCACACATAGAGATCTGTTATGAAACAGGAACATTTAGTTCACACAAGGCAACACCCCATTTCCCTTCACCTTTCATCAGTTTCATACTAAAACTTCTTTTTGCACCAACCAACCAAAAGAAGCCAAGCCCTTCATACAAGGTGAAGGCATTTTCTTTGTCACTACCTTTACCTCTCCACATTTTCTGTCTTTTTCATTCATATGTTTACATCCTTGAATTTGATAATATTTATGTTTTGTCTTTGGAGTTTGTAGGCTGTTAAACAATAGATCATTAATATTGTTGACTAGGAAGATATTGTTCACTCGCTATTGAGCCAGATGATGGTAAACAATAGATCATTACTATATGTTGAGTAGGAAGATACTATTCACTTGATATTGAACCAGGTGATGTGGTAAGATTCCATTTCCCCCTTCAGAACTCAGACATCATGACAGTGCAATAACAAAAGGTCAATGTTCAGAGTTAAATTGGGCTTCTTTATTACTTTACAGTAATTAATCAGATCCTGGCCTTACTTTTTCATATCACTTAACTGTCATTTTTTGGTGCTGTTTATGCTGAGGTTATTCATATGTCTCAATGGGAAAAGAAATACATTCTGCTACCTAAGATGGCTGCCTGATTCTCACATAATTTATCCACTACTTGGAATAGATCCCATATCTACTATGCTTTAGCAGTTTCTTTTCAGAACCTCCAATTACCTGGAAGCCATCTGAGTCCTACTCTGTTTCCTGGAGTTGTCTCACTGCCTATTCTAATTTGGGCTAATTGCTTTTGAGACCTGTTCCGCCGTTGGTATGATTTACATTTCAAGTTCCTTATTTTGGTCCCTTATTCTCTCCAATGTAACATCAAAAAAAAATGTTGCCAACATCTCACCCATGGATTTAAAGCCCTACTTCTGTCTGTCAGCTGGACTTCTTCTCTGTGCTTTGCTCTTGCAGTACGAGGAAAGGCTGTGTGATGAAGAATATTATCTGAAGCATTGGGTAATGGTTCTGGGAACATCAGACTGTAGAAACTTCTTCAGTCCAGGTGTATCTAGGGAATTTTTTCTGCAGCCAGAGACAATCAGCCCTGGATGTTCCCTTCTTTAAGTTCCCTGACTTGTCTTCAGTCGTCATTCTTGGTCCATGAGTCTAATTGAGGGGTTAGGTTTTGGTTCTCTGTATGTGGGGGAAAGTTGCCTCTGCAGCACCCTCTTCCATCTGTCCTGAGACTCCTCTTTCCTTATAACTTGTTTCATTTTTCATACTTGAATGATGCAGCATTTTGCTTATTATGATAGAAAATTAGGTTATTATGAGGAATTATTCATCTTTGAAAGTTATAATATTTATCTTTACTCTCTTAAAAAATAAAAAGAATGGATATCTATACATCTATCTGTCTGTCTATCTACCTTCCTGACCTAAATAAAGGACTTCCAGAGAAGTTCTTGTCTTTCTGCAGGTCTCTACATAATCTCCATTTGGAGTCTCCTCAGATGGAGGGATTTGAGATGAGTATATATTTTAGGATTTTATTTTCCAACATTTTGCTTCTTACCCCTTTTCAGAGGACAAGTCTAGGAGATGAGATGAGACTAGATGTCTTTTCCATTCTCTCTCAGTATCTAACTACTATCCT